AACAGTTTGTCACAGCCCCTCGTTTGTTGTCCTCTTCTCTCTCTATGCCTACGGTTTACCGGGCAGTTCTGTTTGTGACGATATATATATATATATATATATATATATATATATAAGGGTTCAGCCTCCTGATGAGTCGGCGAAACTTCGTCGAAACAGTTTGTCACAGCCCTCCCTCGTTTCTTGTCCTCTTCTCCCTCTCTTAATGCTCTTCAAAACAATAACTTTTCAATCAATTCTCCCATGATTGATTTTCACAATGAAAATGATTTGAATAATTCTCAGCATATTTTTACCATAAATTTGATAAAGTATAGTCAAGAAAAAACTAATTGGCCTATATCTAATACAGGACATATTTGTATCTTGTCAGGTCTAGTGGGCAGCTCTGTTTGACTATAAAATTAGTATAAATATATGTTTGACTATGTTTATATATGTCCTTGCCAACGGTTTACCGGGCAGTTCTTTTTGTGACGATATATGACGATATATATGACGATATATATGTATTATGTATATACATTTGTTTTAGTTCCTGTTTTGTTTGGCTTTTTATTTTGGTTCATATATAAAGTGACTTGTTTGCAAAAAAAAAAAAAAGAAAAAAAAAAGCTACCTGCAAAGAGTGGCGGCGGTTGAAACGCGATGGGACTTGCGGTAGTTCTAGCTGCGTGTTTTCGGGCTACAGTAGGTCTGTTACTCAGGTAGACGCGGTAAATTTATTTTTTTGCGAGTTTGGTGGGTTCTGGAGTGTGAGCTGCCCACCTGCCACTGGGACTGACGATAGTTTTAGATGTGTGTTTTCCCTTTTTTTTTTTTTTTTTTAACTTTTTTGGCTTTTTCATATTGTTTTGAAAACTTGGAGACTCGATCAGGTTACCTCCCGGGAACCGGATTGTAGCGACCAGGTTTCGAGACCTTGGATCTTACATTCGTAGACATGTTCGAGCACCGTTCCATTCGGCTCTTCAGGTTTTGCGAGTTTATTTTTGAGCCGGTGATGCTAGGGGTACTAGAAAGAAGTCAGGGAGTAATAAGGCATGGGGTACTAGAAAGTTGAAACGAAGTGAGCAGCCATGAAAGCATTGCTTGCATCGCCCAATGTCGTTTCCGGTCTGCCGCCGGTTGTGCCCGCCTACGTGCCCGTAGATTGAAGCGGGTCAATGGCAGAGGTGGGAGAAGTGGAACGCAGGGTTTTGACGAGGAGGAGAAGATAAGCGGAACTGCCCCCCTGAGGAGGACCGCGCGCCGGCGGTCGGAACCGGTCTTGGAGGACCACGTAGCGGCGGTCTAGACCAGTTGGGCTTCCATCACCCGTCGGCGTATTGCAATCTTGTACTTCATGTGCTGTTGTGTACTTGGCAATCTATTGGTGTTCTCCGAGTATGTTTTTTTTTTTTTTTAATCATTTTTGCTCACCTGATTGTATTGAGCATCCCCATTCATCTCAGTCAAAACTTGGTGTTCTCCTAGTATGAGTCCTTTTTTTCTCCGAATAATTATTTTTAAATTTATTTTAAGGATGTGCCATAGACAAAAGACTTCTTTTGCGGAATGATGCTTATCAGAATGGCGAGGTACATTCATGTCTTGATGCGATGAGCATCCTGATCCAATTGTGGGCATGGTTCCATTCCCCCCCTTCCCCCCCTTTTCCCCCCCCTTTCCCCCCCTTTCCCCACTTCTGTACCTGGTTCCCATTCCCCTCTTCTTCCCCCTCCCCCCCCCCTCCCTTTCCCCTCTCCCTCTCTTCTTTCGTCTTGTCTCCTCCTTTTGTCCTTTCATTAGAATCAAAAGGCAACACGGTTGAGGAGGGCGGGGGGGGAAAGAAGAAGAAGAAGGGCAAGTGGTGTGTTGCTTCATCATCTAAATAACTATGTTTTTTTTTTTTGTTGTAATCTCGGACTCTTTGTGAGTGGCAAAAAAAGGGACCTTAAAAGCAAAAAGGAAGAAAGGGTTCTTTCATTTGTTTGTTGGATCCCTAAAAGCAAAAGAGAAAAACAAAGCAAAAAGATAGAAAGGGTACTCGATATATTGAGGTATGCCGATGCTGCTGTTGAGTACCTTTTCTTTGATACGACTGAGCATGGAGTCGAACCGGCAATCTCAGGCTCAACAGCTGGATGCCTTAAGTCACCAGTACTTTACCGCTGATTTTCTCCCGAAGAAAAAATTCCATTCTGTCATAGAGTACATATCAAACCGGGACCTGCGTATGTGAACCATAACCACAACCTGAACTGGCAGATGAACCTGAACCTTAATCCGAATGGGACCGGAATCAGAACCGGAACGGAACTGGAACCAGAACCTGAACTGGAACCTGAACTGGAACCAGAACCGGAACCAGAACCGGAAGGCAGACTGGTATATTGAATGCACGGTCGCTGCGTATGTGAACCAGAACCAGAACCTGAACCAGCAGATGAACCTGAACCTGAATCCGAACAGGACCTGAACCGGAACATAAGAACCAAAAGCCAGACTGCTATATCGAAAGCATGGTTGTCGCGTATGTGAACCTGAACCAGAACCTGAACGAGAACCTGAACGAGAACCTGAACGTGACCTTGAACCCATACCCGAATGGGAACCTGAAGAACCTGAACCAGAACCTGAACTCGAAGCCGAACCAGAATGTGAACCAGAACCTCGATCCGGAGGCGAACTGGAAGCGGAACCAGAACCACATATCTGACCACTTGCCTGTTTTCAGTTCTGCTACCGGTTCTGGTTCTGGTTCCGATCCTGGTCTACACCTGAAATCCTGAGACAAACCATAACCCGAAGCAGAATCCGAACCAGAATCAGAATCAGAACCAGAAGCAGACGAGAGCCAAATATTTCACCACATGATGTTCTGGTTCTAGTTCTGCTACTGGTAAATGTATGGTTACTTCTGGTTCTGGTTCTGGTTATGCCGCACTACTGCTACCAGAACCAGAACCAGAACCAGAACCAGAACCAGAACCAGAACCAGAACATGGACCAGAACATGGACCAGAACCCGAGCCAGAACCAGAACCTGGTTTTGTTGTGGTTCTAGTTCTAATTCTGCTGCTTGTGCATGGATACTTGCTCGTGCTACTGGTACAAGAACCGGAAGCAGAATCAGGACCAGATACTACGAGTATTGTTGCTTGGTTCTGGGTCTGCTGTTGGTTCATGTGTGTTTGGTTCTGCTACTGATCCTGGTTCTGTTTCTGGTTGAAGGTTTCTGCTTTCGGTACAGCAATCGGTTTCCTGTATGTGTACTTGATTCTGGTTGTGGTTCACTCAGAGCGGTGTGTGCGTGTGTGAATCAGGAATCTATTTGACAAACTGTTTGCCCGATTGTGATTCGATGGTGACCCCTTTGTGCAGCACAAGCATTCGAAATCCGGCGATGCGGAGGATTCGAAGAAAAATGGATGGTAGCGGGGGAACAAGAGGCGCGCTGTAAATCATCTTGTTTGTTTTTTTTCCGACGCTCGCAAACATTTTTTTCCTCAGATATCAAGTGAGTGCGCTGTCTCCTCCCGCAAGCTTCATCCCCCCCCCTCCTCCACGTATTTGTCCGGCAGTCTTTGATGCTTAACCACAAGCGACTGGGGTTAAGGTGGATGATCACTTACAGAAGGTACCGTGTCATCAGTTGTTGGTGGTCCCCACCACCTCAGAGGGGTATCAGTTGCCAGGCAGTCATTGATGCTTAACCACAATCAACCAGGGTTAAGGTGGATGATCACTTACAGAAGGTACAGTGTAATCAGTTAGGGGATAGGGGATTCTGCAGACTGTTTTTGAGGGTTCGGCCTCTACTGATTGATGAGTCCGAGTCGGTGAAACTCCGACGAAACAGAGTTTGTCACAGCCCCTCATTTGTTGTCCTCTTCTCCCTCTCTGCCTACTGTTTACCGAGCAGCTCTGTTAAATTGACGATATATATATATATACACATGTGACGCGTCTCTGACGATATATATATATATACACATGTGACGCGTCTCTGACGATATATATATATATATACACATGTGACGCGTCTCTCCCAGTGGTTCCGACGCATGTTGCGATGGTCCTTGTATCATCCAATTTCTTCTTCGCCCCCACGATGCTCGTCCTGCCCCTGCTTACTCATCCGCTGTTACTGCAGTTTTCACTGCTGCAGTGTCCACTGCTGGAGTCTCCACTCCTGTAGTTTTCACTGCTGCAGTGTCCACTGTTGCGGTTCCCACTGCTGCAGTTTCTACGGCTACGGTTTCCACTGCTGCAGTTTTCAGTACAGCAGTTTCCCTAACTGTAATTCCCCCTACTTTAGTTTTTACTGCTGCAGCATCCTTTTTTTTTGTTTTTTTTGAAAAATTTGGACCATTTCTCGATTTATGCGTGTCATCCTTGCACAGGGGCCATGCTAATCTTCTATGTATTGTTCCAATTTGCAGCTCCAATGCAAAGAACATCACAATCTCTCCGACGCTCACGTCCTTTGCTCCGAAATCTTGCCCAATTCACCCCCCTCTCATCTTTGTCTGTGCTTGGCCGTAGACGACTGCGTTCCTCCTCACCACCCCCATCTCCTCCACGGTCTCGCTTGCGAGCAGACTCTCCAGTTTCCATTGTTCCCATTGTTCCACCTGCGTTGACAGGTACAAGTTCAGCTTCTGTTTGCAACACCGCTACTTCTCTTGTTGTGTATAACCGACGGCATCTGCGACGTCGTCACTTGTCCGGGGATCAGCAACCTGTTTCTTTGTCTGCCCCGATTCTCTCTGTGCCTCCTCCACAGGTTGTTGCGGTTCCTTTGTTTCAAACGGCAATCTCCGCTCCTATGCCTCCTGCAGGCAGCCACCAGTCACTACTCAGGATGCAGCCGCTGCCCAGAGTACACTCCCGACTCCAGGTACAGTCCCTACTCAGGATGCAGAGCCCTAAACGTTGAGGGATTGGAACATGATCTGCCCGGATCGCGGTTGACCCCACAAGGCATAGACCACATGGGGGATCTGCAAATGGCTGGCCAGCATCGTTCGGATGACACACAATTTTGTGCTCCGCCACCCACACGCGCAGACCGCATGGGTGATCTGCAAATGACTGACCATCAAACAACCCAACACAGTTTGGGCTTGCAACACCATCTGGGTGATATGCAAATTGTTGGCCAGCATCCAACAAACCAGCCTGAGAACCTCACCAATCTCTGTGGTCTGACAGCAACTAATATCTGTCGTCACATTCTCCATCGCCCGTTTTATACACCATCAGACTTCCTTGCAATCGCCCTTCAGCTTGATGCCGATCTTCCCCAACGACAGCCAGAGGATTGTAATTATACCAGCGAAGGAGGATTTACCGTTGCTGTCCTACAAGTAGCAATGAGGGACCGTCAACTTGAACTACGCAATGCTCAAGCAGGTGAGTGGATTAATCCTCCATCCCACATCTCTGCCTGCATTGTGCACGAACCTGGCCATAATATTGGCCATTGTACATGCCTCTGACCACTGGGAGCTGTGGGACAACGGCACCATGGTCCATGCCATGATTGATGTCACTGATTTCTTACAAAATGATGCTGTTTTCTTGCCACAACAAACCGTCGGCAATCTTTTTTATGTCGAAGATCATTCCTCTGGCCCTGTGCTGCAGCAAGACAATGCACCAACGCTCTGCGACCTTCTCCTTTGCCCAACCACAAACACTGTTACACTCGGCTGTAGCCGCCATCGTCTCTGTCACAATCACTACAATGACATGGTTTCTGCATCCATGTGTGCAGAGGACTGTCCCACCGTTCCTGACTGCAGGCACCCTCCGCATCCGGACACTATATGTCCATTTTGCGGCTTTGGGCGCTATACTGAATGCATGCTCTTTTGTGGTGACCGTTCTTCTGTCATTTTGGCCTGCAATCGACATGCCATTTGTTGGGGGTGTATGGCGGGCATGCGCAATGCCACTCGTCGTGGCAATTGTTGCACTGAGAATGCTCAGCTAGGTCTTCCATGCGTTCATCCACGTCATCATTACAATGTATGTCCTCTCTGTCGTCAAGGACAGACTCATTCTTGAGACTTTTCTTATCCTCTTTTGCCTTCACCTTCACTCCCCACTCCGTACTTTCCCTTACCCTTACTTTCCCTTACTTTCCCTTTATCGTTCTTTGTTCGTCTGCTCTCCATCTCTCCTCCCTGTGTTTATCCCCTCCCCCTTCACTCTGCCTCTTTCTCACAGTGTACAAGTGGGCTGTTATGGCACACGGGGATGGGGGCAGCTCGCGCAACTTCAATCTCCATCTCTCCTCCCTGTGTTTATGCCCTCCCCCTTCATTCTATCTCTTTCTCACAGCGTACAAGTGGGCTGTTATGGCACACGGGGATGGGGGCAGCTCGCGCGCAACTTCATCAAGGTGGTGAGCCTTGTACGTGAGAGGCACGGTGAAAGGGGAGTCGAAAGAAGAATGAGTAAAATGAATGGTTTCACTGTGCCCTTCATGTTTGTGTTGTTGTTGTTGCTGTTGTTTTTTGCCGTTTGTTTCGCAAATTGCGCTCTTTTAGTTCATAGCTATGTGACAATATATATATTATATATTATAGCCGGGGTTAAGGTGGATTATCACTTACAGTGTAATCAGTTAGGGGATTCTGCAGACTGTTGAGGGTTCAGCCTCCTGATGAGTCGGTGAAACTCCAACGAAACGGTTTGTCACAGCCCCTCCCTCATTTGCTGTCCTCTTCTCCCCCCCTCCCTCTCTGCCTACGGTTTACCGTACGCAGCTCTGTTTGAGGATATATATGGGCAGCTCTGTTTGACGATAGATACATACCTATAAATATACATGTATACATGTTAGAAGATACTGTTTGCCTTGATTGTCTTTTGTCTCCTCGTGCATCTTGTTTGCATTGCCTATCTGCATCACCTGACAAAATCTTTCTACCGTCTTCACCCGAATATAACGCACGGTCATTATCTGTCCAGATGCAACGATAATGACCGGGCCATAAGACGGCAGTTGCCTATTGCACCACATTATTGTTTGCATTGCCTTTCTGATAACTCCACATCAGTTAAGAACTATGACCAAAATAAAAATAAGATCACAAGATATCGAGCGAGTCTGGCATCTTCTGTAACTCTGTTGGTGCTGCTTCTCCTGCACACATACTGTTCGCATAGCTTCTCTGTGTTCCTTTGTCTCTCTCACATTCATTATGTCTCTCTCTCTCTCTCTCTCTCTCTCTCACACACACACACACACACACACACACACACACACACACACACACACACACACACACACAGCTCCTCTCTCTCTTTCTCTCAGCTCCTCCTACAGATACTGTTTGCATAGCGTCTCTCTCTCTCTCTCTCTCTCTCTCTCTCTCTCTCTCTCTCTCTTGCTGGAGTGCAGTTTCTCTCTCTCTCTCTCTCT